TCACACTATTATGCCACTACATCTCAGTTTTAGATGCACAAAACTGTTAGCAGTCCCTAAACCCTGAACTTCAACACTTCTATTACTGCTACTCTGGGCCTGTCCTGATCAGGGATGCTCTCTCTCATCAAACATTGTTTTGGGATGTGCTCACAAAGGAGATCAGGGGAGTGAGGATCCTGCCCAATTGCAGTAGGCCTAATGGGTCATTTTTCTTTCAGTTTTTTTCCACAGGTGAAAGCCTGCTCCGGTATCCAGCTCTAATCACAGAATCAGATCTAAAGCTCAGAACTGAGCAAAATGGTTCATTGTTTTATAAATGCCCTGAGCCTAAACAGGTTTGACTAGGGCATGTTGGACAGACAATAGGCAAAATGCCTCATTGAAGTTGATGGGAATTTTGCCACCTGACTTCCGTAAGGCTAAGATTTCACCCATGTTTGTCTTTTGTTGAAGCGAGCCTGCTTTGTCTTACTCAGATAGCCATAAGGATATGCTGAAGAACAAGCAGTTGCATTAACTGCCCCGACCCCTGTCCCCAAGGTGTGGATCAATAGGAAATAGCAATGGTGCTAAATTTATAGAGAAAGGGGAATATGAGTATCCTCCAGGCTCCTGAGAAGCCCAGGGAGGTGTGAAATTCAAGCAGCCATTCATAGATCAATTGAGAGATTACTGCCATGGTTTTATAGCATTAGTAATAGATTTACCCGGTTATGGAAGCAGAAGGCAAAAGTTAGTTTGCTCAAAATTGCATTTCTAAAGCTACCAGTTCTCCAATCAAGGGGGGAAAGAGAGAAAGCCATAGTTTTAATATGTCACATTATCAGTAACTATTTAAAGTAATGCTGCTGCTATTTTTATATCAGCTGTGTTCCTTACGGAGTGAGCATTACAAGGTCAAGTCACCTCCTGGGGTTTTTTCCTGTCCTGACACTATCAAATGGATGTCTGCCATGCACTGTATGTGGGCCAGTGATCAAGTATCAGGCAGCCCTGGATCTGTCCACGGTACTGAAAAGCATCCTCCCACCTTTTATAAGATTCAATTTAAATGGGAGAGTCAAGTTTACATTTAATTTGTTTTTTGTGCATATTTCCTCTCTATGCCCATTGTAATTAGGTTCAGGTTCTGCACCTGTACTCAAAGACTCCTGTAATTAAAAAAAAAATCTTAATTTAAAAGTGGTCTCTCTCTCCTATTTCTGTATTAAAGATCCACTTAAACGGCAGGGAAAAAACTACGAGTCAAGGAAAACGGTGAACATGGCTATATACAGATTGATGTAGATTGATGCACAGAGTAAAGCAACTGAATATTGTTTTTCTTTCCTCTACATTGCTATGGTCACAGTAATCCTGCTTGTTACTTGTAATAATAGAGGGGAAACGCACACACTTCTGTTTGGTTTTTAAGCAGATGGTCCTTCTTAAAAAATCTTCTCTCAACTGATAAAGAACAAAAAACTGATCTAGAGCACAAATTACACCATGAGAGTGCTAAGCACTTAGAGAGAAATTGGGGAAAAAAACCTCACAGCCACCTTGCAAGCAAGTGCACTTTACTATTGCACATTATAGTAACACACCCATTAAAAAAAGCCTTATGAAACAAATGGCTCAAAGGATTTTTAATGGCATATTGAATCTTTTACTTGTAAACCAGCTGAAAAGTACCAGCCCACAGCATCCTAATCTTTTTCAGTCACTTGAGTCCTACAGATTAAATTAAAGGAATGGGTGCTTTCATTCAAATCTGTACTAAATAGTTGGGCACTCCTCTGAAATTTAACCATGCCAACCACGGTTCCTTCCCCACCCAAAAAAAGTGTGTAAACTTTGGTCATCAGCAG